CCCCCCCCCCCCCCCCCCCCCAAAAAAGAAAAAGAAAATTAAATTTTCCCATTAAATCCCCGTAAAAATTCAATATCCCAACTCTCAATAGGTCTATTCTAATTTTGAATAAAGCAAGCTTTCGTGAGCAGTGATAAGACTTCGGGGATTCTGAAAAAAAAATCGTATATGGGGAATGCGTCCAAAAGTAACCGTCTGAGTTTCAGTAAAATAATGTCATTCTTGGAACGAGTTACAGCCATTTTACAGTAGATGTATGTCACGTTCCATTTCTGTAATAATACATTAGGAGAGTATGAATAGCGATGACGGATTTGTAGATAAATATCCAGTATTTATTGTCTGTAAAATATTAAATTTTTCCCCATTTTCTTCCTGAAAGTAGGGGGGATGAGAGCCACCCCACCTCAATAAGTGTGGGGCCGGGGGATATACCCCCATACCCCCGCTATCTACGCTCCTGTCAGATAAACTCAAATTTGACTTTTGATATGCATACAAATATTCATAATCATAATCTTTGTTAGCAGTACTCTACAGGCGCCGCGGAACGTTTTTTGAAGTGGGGGTGCTCAATTTGTTACGCTTGACAGTGGCCAATGCAGGTTTTCGAGTAGGGTGGTAAGAAACAGGCGGAGGTATGCGGGTCCTCCCCCAGAAAATTTTGAATCCCCCATTTTCTTCCTGAAAGTAGGGGGGGGGGTGCTTGTACACGCCATCCCCCACGTCAATAAGGGGGGATGCATCGCCCCCCCCCGCTATCTACGCCCCTGTGTGTGTATGGTGGTGTCATACCGGGCCCGCTGTATGAGGCCTTCGGATAAATGCATAGTCATACCACTGATCTCTATAATATAATCTAATATAATATAATAATATAATATCTATCTATAATATAATATAAATATATATAAGATTATATTATAGAGATCAGTGAGTCATACCTGTAAATATATTCGTGGCGATGGCGCTGCGATCGATCCTGATGGTCATATGTTATGTGCATGCTCGTGCATGGTACATATTTCTTTATACACCCTTGTACCACAGAAATAGAATATACTTCTATTCTATTTCTGTGCCTTGTACAAACAAAGTACAACTTCTTCCAACAACAAAAAGAACAAAAGTTTTGTTAAGTACAAGTTCTTTTGTTAAATACTTTCTTTTACATATTCTTTTTAGATGTATAAATATATCTATTCATAGAGATATATTTATCTATATCGCTATTTAGCCCTGTCAGTGTCACTGTGCACCGTCGGCAGGTAGTGTGTGTGCATAGAGCATTTACACGGAATTTACAGGAAACTGTCGGCAATAATAGGTGAAAGAGAGTATAGAAACATTAAGATTTTGTAGTACTAGTATTAGATTTCGTATTTATTTAGCATTATATTTTATTGAAACGCTTCAAGTGCCTGTGCCAATGTGTACGGTTAAATTTGTCTAGCTTTGGATTTATTATACGCAGTGGTAGCTCTAGTACTATAGCCTGCTTACATTAAGTGCCGCTGGACTATACTAGCATCAACCATTACGAATGCTCGGGACCAACTTACTCCAGCCAGTCAGCGGGAACTATGTATTTCCGCACGTGGAGGGGTGGGCGGGTTGTGTTGGTTGTGGACAAAAACATTGTTGTTGTCAAGTAACAAATTAATAATACTAATAGTAATTAATTTGTTCATCTTTCATGACTAATACTACAATTTTTTTTG